CGGAGTTTCAGAGTGGGTTACAATCTCCTTCCCTTCCTCTCCCCACAACAGACACCCTGTGAGGTAGGTGGGGCTGAGAGAGCTCTGAGAGAACTACTCTTGAGAGAACTGTGATAGACCCAAGGTCACCCAGCTGGCTGCATCTGGAAGAGTGGGGAATCAAACCTGGTTCTCCAGATTAGAGTCCACTGTTCTTAACCACTACACTAAACTGCTCTTAACCACTACACCAAACAGATACCACTTCCGCATTTTTTTCTATAGAAACCCCCCCTCTTAATTGGTATGAAAAACTACAAACAAAACACGTCTGGCAATCAATTGAGTTGTACCATACTCAACCTGGCGACTGAAAATAAAGCTCTTTGTGTATGGAGTGGTCCCGGCCACACGGGAGGATTTGCCCCGCAAGAGGGATGGATCGGCGGTGCATCAAGCGGGCGCGATCACACCGCAACATCTGGGAACTGTTACCCGAACCGGTCCAATTTGGTTCTGGGAGCCCAAGTCAACTCTGCTTATAGAGGATGGGCGGTGCGTGAGTTCTAACCCGTGTATCCAGAGGTCGGATTGGCCAATGAAACGCTCGCTATTTTCCCAGGAAGTCAGACAACACACTGGTTTTATGAATAAATGTTGTCTTTTACTAAAGCAGTTTCTTCAGACATACAAAAACAGATACATACGAGATTCACACAGCTCCTTAGTTACAGTAGTATATAGAAACAATTAAAGAATGGAAAATAACAAAAGCATCAAATAAAGGGGGATGACTTCACAAATAGGCGGCTATACTTATCTGAGGTCCGCTGAGAAGAAATCTCCTCCTAGGAAAAAGGGGGCAACTAACGTATCAACTGGTGAACTCTGAACACACAGAGGCTGGTCCTGCCACGCCACGTGTGCGTTCCCTGGTCGCGACTCCAGGGAACTTAGAGAGTCACCTGAAGCACCCTAGTGCTCTAAGGGGGAGAGCAGAAGCTGGAGTGAAGTGAAGAGAGCGAGACAAAGGCGCGTTTCCCTTTTTACCAGCTCTGTTCTGGGCATGGCTTTACCTGTCATAAATCTTCAGATCCGTCCTCTATTCTAAAGCTATAGGTCCGCTAAGGGGTGACGTCCCAAAGAGGGCAGTGGGCAATATGAGAATATTCTGTCCCTAAATCAAAGCGGAGCCATGTGGTGATGTGTGAAACCTCCATTTCCTTGGCGACCTTTGGAGTAGAGATGAGCCTGGTCCTCAGGGCAATAAAACAGTATTGTCTTTCAATGCCCAAACCAGATAGCAGGAAGGGAGTTGGTGCTTTCCCATAATCCATCAAGGGTGGTCACGCCTGGTGCATCTCCAAATGTCTCCTGGTGCATACCGGTGATGACCTATTTGGGCCAGGGGCACAGTGGAAAATTCCAGGGAAAGCATGTGCGCTGTAGCTGGCATCTCAGCCGTGCCCATCAGGGACCGGGTGAGGTGTAAGGCCAGCTATTCAAGCGCATGGCAGCAAACACACACAACAAAGGGCTCTGAGTCCCAAAAGCACAGATACATAGACATTTGAGCAATACTTCATAAGCACAACACATATAAAATGCAAATACAAGCCCACATGGTAACAGAACACCCGTCCCCGATCCATCCCTTTGGCCTGAAAACGCACATTTGAAAGGTACTAGCAACAGAGCACTACCTTCCGGATGATGCATGGCAACTCCAGGCATCTGGTCGGGGAAGCGCTGGTAGCCCATCACAGCCAGTGCCGTTCCCCGTCCCACACATGCGCACAACCATGCTACTGCTGGTTTGCTGCACAACGTGTGATCGGGTGCCAGAGCACAAAGCCGCGGGGGCACGTCGGATCATGCAAACCCACACTTTTTTGCTCCAGCTCTAATTTGCCTCTCTTCGGCAGCGGATCATCCCACTCGTGTGACCGGGACCAGTGTAAAGTTAATTTTCTCTCACAAATCCCAGTTGGTGTTTGACACAAAGACCTCTTTGATGTAATGGTATAGCATTACCACTGTTATGTGTATCATTTGCTTTTAACAATCCTTTGCAGATTTAGTATTAACAGTGGGAAAAAAACCCCACTTTAAAAGCAGGCCTGTTCTCAGTTTCTATCCTGGTGTATGTAAAAACAGATGTGCATACTGGATAGCGAGGAGGAACACCGTAAAACTCAGAAGATGATACAAAAGATGAAATTCAACCAGTTCTGAATGACGTTGCATTCTCATGACAAACTGGATATGGAGCTTGGACTCCACATTGTCTCTGGACAAACAAGTGTTAGAAATCACCTGGAATGCCTTTTACCGGCTGAGGTTTGTTCATCTGCTGCACCCATTCCATGAAAAAGCTGACCTTTCCGCAGTCGCACATGCCTTAACAACAGCTATACTCACACTCTACATAGGACTGCCCTTGAAGATAATTTGGAAGCTATAGTTCGTACAAAGTGTAGCAGCTAGGTTTTTTACTTGGATGTGCCACTGTGATCATATTAAGCCAGTAGGGATCCCAGGTCCCCCCGGGGGGCGGGGAAACCCCCGCCCCAGAGGCCCGTTCCCCGGCGGCACCGGATCGCGCCCCGGGGAAAACTCCACCCCAACGTGCATGTCACCCAGAAGTGACGCGGGCATGCCGGGCACACTGGGGGCAGGGCTACGACAATACAAGGGAAAACTCTATGGCCGTGGCCCCGCCCCAGCGTGCCTGGTGTCCTCCCATCACTTCCGGGTGACGTGCGTGCGGTGCACAAGACGCCGGCCGGGAGCCCCCCCCTCCCGGCGAAGGCAGACTTGGCAACCCTATAAGCCAATCATCTACGTTGTCATATACTGTGTCCTCTACATTGGCTTCCAGTTGTTTCCAGGCCCAGTCCAAGGCACTCTCTTTGAATTGTAGAGCCCTAATTTTTTTGGTCTTTGACTACCTAAAGACCACCTTCTCTAGTATTTTCTAGCCTGGGACTTGAGATCCCACACATAGGCCTTTTTTAGGGAATCAGCCTTAACCTGAATTTAGTTGGCTGGGACTCAAGGATAGGTCTTTTCTACTACTGCCTCCTACCTACCTATGGAAGGTCCTCCCCAGGAGGTGAGAAGGACTACATTCTTGATGGCCTTCAGACTAATTTAATGATGCACCTGTTTCAGAAGTCTTTGTGTTTAGACTGAAGTGTTGCTATGGTGGACTATATTGTTTATTGACACCGCTAGGGAAAAGGGGATTCTTTTTATATATCATGAATGCATTTAAACAATTATGCCTTTATGGTTTTTGGAACTGCATTGTGAACTACCTTGGGGACTAGATATGATCAAAATGCAGTAAAGAAAATCTATTAAAATAAATATATTTATATAGAGAGGAAGAACAAGTCATGTCAGAGGAAGGTTTCATAGGCTGAAGGAAGGCTTTACACTTTGGTGAACAGAGGGGTACAATACAAGTCACTAATTCCAGTTTATCTCTAGGGCTTCATCTGTACATCACAGATAACCAAATAGTAATGTTCAGCCATTTTGTGTAAGAAGAAGAGGGGGAAGAGAAAAGTGTATGTGTGAATCCAGTAACATACTAGGTTCCTGCAGATTTTCTGTTAAATATGGTTACTTGTAGAGTCTGAACATTTCTTGACGTCTTCATTTTATTATCCTAAAGTCAGCACAATTTACATAAAACTTGTCACATTCAACATATTTATCTCCACACTGAAACAAATAAAATGTAGGCACAAATTCAAAATTCACCACCTTTTCTTAAGCCATGAGAAATATAATGTGTATTTGATTTAGGGTTGCCAAGTCCATCTTCCACCCCCAGCGGGGGACTTTGGGGGCATTCCAGGAAGGGGTGGGGCATCCCCAACGTGATGACGTCACGCTGGGGACGTCTGCCGCCTCCCCCACCCGGCCGTGCGCTGGATCTCCAGAAACAGCAGTTCCCTGCACTTAAAGTAGCCAGCAGCCAGCGTTTCCCCTTTAAGAGAAGCTGCCGTTTCCCTTTTAAGAACGAAGCTGGCTTTTCCCTGCAAGGTTGCGGAGTTCGCGCTTGGGATGAAACACGGGTTGCACACCCTTAAAGGGAGAGAGATGGGTGGCTGTGGGTGTTGGGGGTGGGGCTTCCCCTGCCGGCCATCTGGCCGGCGGTGGGTAGAACCCCCCCAAAACGGGGGACCCCTGGCAAACCGGGGGGGGGTTGGCAACCCTAATTTGATTCAGTGGCTCTAAATGATGCAAAACTCATTTTATGTCTTGAGACCTGACACAAGCTTGAAATGGCAAGACCTGGCCTAGTCCATTAGAATAAGTGACTACGTTTCTGCCAGAAGTTACAGCCATCTAAGGCCATTGTCTTCAGCCAACCTAGAAGGATGTAACTTTGTTTATGATTGTCCTGTTAAAGCTGGATTTTAAATATATATACCAGGATTGTAATAGTTTGTTGTAATGATGTTTATGGTGGTTTGTGTTCTTATTATGTTTTACTTTGAAAGCATCCTTGAGTAGGTTCTGGGATAGAAATCTTCTAAATATACAATGTAGTGGGCAGGCACTCAGTCCATGGTCTCATATATGGATTGCTCTATGGCCTCTGTTTAATTATTTAAATTGCTAACCCAGCTAAAGGTAGCGTCATAGTGTGTTAAAGTAATGTTTAACCTTAATGAAAAAAAATCAGCCAGATATAAGGGTGTGAACTGTTGAATCTTTCCTGCTTGCAAAGGTGATTTCATGAAAGGCATGATTATGTTTTTGACTTACATACTGCCAGAATGAGATTATGGAAAATACTGGCTCATTTATTTAAGACATTTTGACAGCATTGGCATTTGTTTTTATTTGTTTCAGCACAATTCTTCATCCCTTAAATCTGAATTGTATCTCTTGAATAACAGTTTGTATTCTGGTTTTTAGGAACAGCCTTGCAAATATGGAGCTATATTATTTGCTTCTGAACAAGCAAAGGAGTAACTACTAAGAGACCACTAATTAGCACAATGACCAGCTTCATACGTCCAGATGTTAAAAATTTTGTTGCCTGGGACTATGTTGTTTTTGCGGCACTCTTTGTCATTTCTTCTGGTATAGGAGTCTTTTTTGCAGTTAAAGAGAGGAAAAAAACGAGTTCCAGGGACTTTTTAGTTGGTGGCAAACAGATGACTTGTGGACCAGTAGCTCTGTCTCTCACAGCTAGTTTCATGTCAGCCGTGACTGTGCTGGGAACCCCAGCTGAGGTATATCGCTATGGGGCATCCTTCATCATCTTCTTCATTGCATACACATTTGTCATCATTTTTACTTCAGAACTTTTCCTGCCTGTATTCTACAGATCTGGGATCACAAGCACTTATGAGGTAACCTTTATTTATATTTATATATTTATCCCTATATCACTATATCTATCTATCTATCTATCTATCTATCTATCTATCTATCTATCTATCTATCTATCTATCTATCTATCTATTATCTCCATCCATCCATATAATTTGTATCTATATTGTATTTAGTCAGCCTAAGACATTTTGACAGCATTTACATTAGTTCTTTGGAGTATTTTGAGTCCTTTGAAGTATTAAATTCAATCAGATTTCAACTCATTTCCTGCTATTTAATTAGATATATATTGGGTAAATTAAAAAATAATTTTTTGTTTATAAAACATAAAATGATTATTAGTGGCAAATTTATTGTGTGCTGCAAGAATTTGTACAGATGCAAGATGAGTGAATAATGATCTACCATCCATTAATGCAAGTCTTCAAAAGGGGCAAAATGCAAGACTAATGGAATGAACAAACTGGCAAGATTTAGGAATGAATGTCAACAAGAACATACATTTGTACAAAACTGGGTCTCCTTCATTTCATATTGGATGGAGAAGAGTAAGAATTCCACACTACTGCTTTTATTACTTTCTTTATATGAACTTATGTATGTTTAATTGTTTAGATTTATGTAAACAAAGGAAAATATTATTTAAAGTAGAAAAAAGATTGTTTGCATTTTCAGAGTTTATTGATCTGTCTGTTGATCGTGAGATAAGAGGAGCATTTTAACTCTGTATACTGATTTATTGTTCTGTGTATCAACATACTCATTTTATGTGTCGTGAAATTTGTCTGTCTTCACCCTGAGCTTTCAGTAGAAGAAGAAACAGAAAACCTTTATTGGCATAACAAGAGCTTTCAGTATACCAAAGATAGAAATCAAAATCAATCAATGTCTCAGCCAATTAAAAATATAAATCACAGATTTAAAATAATAGAAGTAGGTGTCTGTATCATCACCACCCCCATCACCTTCAAATAACAGGCATACCAGGAATCATTGGAGGAGGAAAACAATCTCCACCCATCCCTCAAGAATCTTACCTTCCAAGATTCCATTCTCTCTGGAGCTTGAGCAGGCTGATCTCCTGTTTAACTGATTTCATCCTCCTTTTCCTTTAACTGACTCTTAGCTCTCAACATTCTGTCCCCTCTGGATCATTTTCATTTCTCATCAGGCCAGTTTCATGTTTCTCTTTAGTTAATTTACAAAGTCATACATTTCTATATACCTAGGGGGTCCTCCAATTATACAGAGACTCTTACATCGTCTATGGATGGCCTGCTTTTACTGCTTTCATCAGTTTTCTACTAGATATAGAGATACACCTAGTGCTATTAGCCTTATTATAGATGAGAATTAAAGCTAAGAGACAGTGGCTTGCCACCACTTGTTCTCATAACTGAGCTGGAGCCCCTGACTGAGATTCACAGCCATGTGCGGACCTGATTTTGATCATGACTTCTGTGCACAGGGAAGGGTATTTTCTCTCCAAATGCATTTCTCTGACATGAAATTGCCACAGGCAGCCACTATTTGCCCATTTGGAGGAATTCACATGTAGTCAATAGGGCAAATATCAGCTCTCTGGGGCTGTTTCTGATTGGGGAAATGAAATTGAAAAGGCTTAAGCCCATACTCAGTGGTCCCACTCCAAACCAGGCCCCTGAATGCCAGGGAATCTAAGTTTTACCTAAGAAGATACAACAACCATCTGATTGACAGGACCCATGGAGACAGAGCCAGGAACAACATATTATTTTGTAGACCTACAGTAGTAATAGAGGCTAGTACCTGACTGGGGCTGCTTTCACACATCATTGGGTGCATTGCTATAGCATTTTGGGCTGGGAAAGGCAGCACCCTGGTTCTGATCTGAATTGGGCCCCTTCAGCACTCCTGAATAGAGTTCCCATGGGGAACTCACTGTGATCTTATGGCTGCAACTCCTTGTGGTGATCGTGTGGTAGATTTAAGGCACAAGTTTGGACCTCAGTCAAATGATCATGTGCAAAATTGCAGGTTCTGCTTGTATTAAATGAGACAGCACAAACAGACTGCCGGCATGGGTACATGAAACTATGGATACCAGAAGGGCAATTGCGTATCTTGCCCCTTGCTCTCCTATAGTGAGGTGTCTCCAATGTTGTGTGATGTGTGTTGATTTTTGCCAGATTTCCCTTGCCCTGCGGCCCTTTTTGGCTCCTGGAAAATTATGGCTAGAGCTGTAGGATCTGAGTGAACAAAAAACCCTGTTGGTTGGGGGACAAAGAGGTAGGGGGATTGGGTTGTACCTTCCTGTTCCTCCCACTCAGAGTTCCACTCACAGAAAAGGGAGGAGGGGTGCTTTTGCTTGATTCTTGCTCCTCCTGCAGCCTCTTGACCTACATGGCTTGACCTACATGTGGGTAGCGGGACTCCAAGCATCATCTTCTCTGCTGGGGGATGGGAAATTGGGGTAAAATGGCAATACCTTCCAGTGGTGATTAGTTGGATGAAACACAGTGCATAATGGATCTAATGGATAACAGCTTATTGGTTCTTCATGTGCTTTGCAATATTTATGTTTGGAATGCAGTTTCTGATGATTTTGGGGGCAACAGCACCTCTTAGGATTCTTGATTCAGCTAAAATGACAGACAATAGTTAATATGGAGTAATGATTGTGAATATATGACCCCGGTAACTGAAATGCAACCAAGGAATGTATAGTTTTTGGATAATAGATTCCCTTCCCCACCACACAAAGTTAATGTCTGTTAATTATTTAATGTTGTGGCATAGCTATGAACTTGTATTTAACAGCAGGAACTATTGTTGAAACTAAACTCAGCATGAAGTAAAAGCCCAACTATCTAATAAGTGAAATGAGGAAAACTGTGTGCAGCCATGAAATTTAAAAATGCTTTGTTTCATTTGCTTAGCTAGCCACAGTTTACCTGAAAGATCTCATTATAAGGCAAGGACAGATTGCAAATTTGTTTGTAGTCAGAAACAGAAGATAAGGATTCCAAAATAACCAAGGGTCATAATAAAGATAACAGGGCAATATTCTCTTTTATCTTTTCAATACCTGAGACAGAAATTCCCTTGAAGGCACTTCAAGAAGCCTTCTCCAGATAAGTAACTGTGGCTGTAAAATGGCAAGTGTGCAAGAAAAACCACACATTCCTTTATATTTCTTTATTAGTATTTCAAGTGGCATTACATCTTATTATTAATAAGGGTAATTATTAGCATTACCTTCAGGGGTAAGGCAGAGCATAGATGACATAATTGATGGGGGGATCTAAAGGCAAATAGTTAAGGACTGGGAATGGTGAGGCTGAAAACAGATATCTTAGTCCTTGACTAAAGAGGCCATCATATTTGGTTACATTATGAGAAGATAAAACTCACAAGACAAAACAATAACGCTAGGGAAAGTTGAAGGCAGCAGGAAAAGAGGAAGACCCAATATGAGATGGATTGACTCAATCAGTGAGGCCATGACTCTCAGTTTGCAAGACCTGAGCAAGGCTCCCCATACATTCCCCCAAGAGCACTGCGATCGGGGAATCTCCATCGCCTGGAGGTTCCAGGCCCCCGGGAAGTGAAGTTGGCCCAAACCAGGGCTAGGACGTTCTTGGTGGCGGCTCCCACCTGGTGGAATGAGCTCCCGGAGGAGATCCGGGCCCTGCGGGACCTAGTGCAGTTCCGCAGGGCCTGCAAGACGGAGCTCTTCCGCCAGGCCTTTGAGGGGGAGCCGCCACCGCCACTATTCCACCAATGATATTCCAACCATCTACCCCACATAGTGGGGATAGATGTCGCCCAATAGAGCTGGGGAAACATTCTTCCTGGCGCTCCTGCTGTGAAGAACTTGGCCGCCAGTGTGGGACGTCGCCCATCTTGGATTTTATGTAAATTATCAAAGCACCAAATTTTTATGTCAAGATATAGTGTTTTTATTATGCTGTTGTTGTATGCATATTTTAACTTCGGCATGGCCGTTAGTTAGCCGCCCCGAGCTGTATATTGGATGGGGCGGGATATAAATCCCAAAAACAAACAAATAAATAAATAAATAATTTTAATTATAGGACATTCTGGAGGTCATTAATTCATATAGTCACCACAAGTTGGAAGCGACTTGATGGCACTTAACACATACAAATTTTATTCTCTCCTTCTTTGAAGGATGATCAAAGCAGTGCATGGCAAAGGTAATCCAGAAACACAGCAAGCCTGAAGCATAGCAAGGGAGCTGTAAATGGAGCTATTCACCAGGTTGCGAGCAGCTTCTTCTTGCTTCTTTTTTAGGGGGCTGGATCCAAGGCTGTGACATCCTTCAAAGATATCATTTATATTTGCTAGTTGTTCATAGGGTTGCCAAGTCCTCACTGTATGTACAGCTGGTGGACTCCAGCGCTGCTTTGGGAGTGCCGCAACCACATCACCTGGAAGTGATGCAACCACATCGGGCGTGCCGGGGGCAGGGCCACAATCATCCGAGGGAAAACCATAGAGTTTTCCCTCGGATGACCGTGACCCCACCCCCAACGCACCTGACGCGACTGCGTCACTTCCGGGTAACGTGCTGACACCGGGCACGTCGTGTGCTTTGGGGGTGGGGTTCCCCCTGGGGCCCGATCCGCCAGCGGAGGGTAATGGGCCTCTGGGGCGGGGATTTCCCTGCCCCCCGGGGGGACTTGGCAAGCCTAGTTGTTCAGGACAAAAGCACCATTGATAACCTGTATGTATTATTTGAAGGTGTATCTGGGTGGTCTCCAATGTAATAGGTGTTACTAAAAAGTGAAAAATAGTTGGTACTAAAAAAATAGTTGTTAGTAAAAAGTGAAAGTTTCAGATTTATTTGTACCCATCACAGTACCTGTATTCATCCCAACAATGTGAAAGGCTCAGCACATCTACAGACTGCAATTACATCATGTTAAGGATTTTCCAGTAGGTACATGATCCAAACCAATGCAAGATGCTTGTAGGTATTGTCTGTATATTGTCTGGCATGGCAACAACAATAATCTGATGTGGGCCGTCATCATATTAACATGTAGCTAACAGTATAATTTGATGGGCTGGATCCAAGCTAGTTTTTGTGAGAACAAGGACTTCTACCGCAGAGTGTGATTTTCCTCCTCCCCCCATGACGGCCCGAAATATCCCCCAATCCTAGTCCTAGGAGAGAAGTGACCCATAAGAAGATGATATTAGGGAGCATTTCAGGCTGCTACATGGGTGGGCTGGGAAATATATGCTCCACTGGACAAAGTCCTTATGCCTATGGAAAAATCAGCATCTAAGCCACTGAATTTACTATGAGTTACTCCTGAGTAAACAGACATATGAATAAACTGTATATATCATGGGAATCCACTCCCAAGTTAGCCGATGTGGTGTCTGCACAATGCACTTACTCAAAGGTGGTGGTGGGGGAAATTACCCTGTCCTTTTTTTTAGGACTAAAAGCAGCCTGGAGGGAGGGGTCAGTTCTGATCATATGTCAAACTGAATTGGAGAAAAAAAAGGTAATCCTTGACTTCTCCTGTAGTTGTGTTAGCATTAAAAACACAAGGAGGCTCTGATCACAGATGTCTCAGCATCATCTTATTTGACCCATACACTTTCTGAAAGAAAACAACTCTCCCTGCACCCTGTAATGCTTCCTAGGCTATTGTCTCAAACTATTTTATGCTGCTTAACAAGTGTAGAGGCACTTTCTCAGAAACAACTGTACCTACTTGCTGAATCAGATGGAATGTGAGTTCGAAGGTGATATGACAGATGTTTTTCATTTACTCATATTCATTCTTTACTACAGTATTTGGAGTTAAGATTTAACAAGCCTGTCCGTGTTGCTGCTACAGTTATTTACATCGTGCAAACGGTAAGGGATCTTTTACATTCTATATGTGACAGACGTCCTCACTTATAAATGGGCAATAAATGGGCAATTTTCTCAGTGGAGGGTGGTAAGCAGTGGGGTACTGCAGGGATCAGAACTGGGTCTGATGCTTTTTAACTTGTTATTAATGATTTGGAGTTGGGAGTAAGTAGTGAAGTGGCTAAATTTGCAGATGACATGAAGTTGTTCAGGGTGGTGAGAACCAGGGAGGATTGTGAGGCACTCCAAAGGGATCTGTCGAGGATGGGCGAGTGGGCATCAATGTGGCAAATGGGGTTCAGTGTGATCAGTTGCAAAGTGATGCACATCGGAGCCAAAAATCCTAACTATAAATACACATTGATGGGGTCTGAACTGGCAGAGACTGATCAAGAAAGAGATCTTGGAGTTGTAATAGATAACTCAGTGAAAATGTCTAGACAGTGTGCGACTGCAATAAAAAAGGCCAACGCTATACTGGGGATTATTAGGAAGGGAATTGAAAACAAACCAGCCAGTATCATAATGCCCCTGTATAAATTGATGGTGCGACCTCATTTGAAGTACTGTGTACAGTTCTGGTCACCAAACTTCAAAATGATGTTATAGCATTGGAAAAAGTGCAGAAAAGGGCAACTGGAATGATAAAAGGGTTGGAACACATTCCATATGAAGAAAGGTTAAAGCGCTTGGGGCTCTTTAGCTTGGAGAAACGTGGTTTGCAGAAAGCACAAAAAAAAGGTGAGCAACAGGGAGGAGCTGGGTTTTTTTGGCAACCTCTTTAAAGGGACTGCACAGGAGAAGCCAAAAAAAACCAGCTGAGCAGCAGGGAGGTGCTCCCCAGCACTTAGCTGTTTTTGCGGCTTTCACGGGGAACAGAAATCAGGGGTTTAAAGGGACTACCACAAACATTTTTAAAACTACAAACAGAGCAAAATTTGTAATTAATTTTGCTTCATGGTTCAGTTTCTGCATCCCTATTAGAGTGTTCAGAGCATGTTTTAGCTTCCAGCTCCATCCCAGGGGCAAAGGAGCTCTGAGGTCACAGCCCTTAGACAGACCCCCAAAGGTAAAGCTTCCTGAATTTAAGGCTGCTGTAGGAATAACACAGCTCCATTTTCTCAGAGACCTAAGTGATTTTGACCAAGCACTTGCTTTAGAATTCTCTCTAAAAGTCAAAAATCCACAATAGTGAAAGGGCTGGTTTCTAAATTTCTCATTTCTAAAAACAGATTATTTTTGAGACAGTTGAGTTCTGGAGCTTGACAGACTAATGGTTATATAGTTTTCAGGTTTCACTCTGGAAGAAAATAGTGGAACTTATCTCAGCAAGGAATACTTAACGTCATTTGCACTTAAAATTCTGTTCAAATGGCGGCCTCCCTTCTTCATAGAATTTTATGGCAACTTCTGACACTGTTCCTCTTCATTCCAACAGTAGCCACTCCCTGGAGAGACTCCAAGAGCAAGCTTGGCAATTCACATAGGAAGCAAATTGACAACATAAAAAGAAAACTCTGTTGTTCCTTGAGGTTGTTTGGGAAACAGTGCAAAGTTAATTGGCTTTTCTTAGTGGGTAATTTGATAAATATGCCCTTAGAGGGAACCGTTTGTTTCCCAAAAGGATTCCACCCTCCAAATGAATTCCATGCATCTAAATAGCGGCAGTATTAGCAATAGACTGGTATTTGCATTGGAAATTGCTTGATTTGCAAAGTATTTAACAGTTCCAGAAAGAATTTTGTAAAACTGACTATCTTATTCTATGCAACACTGATTGACATACAAAATGAAATTTTGCATTCCTCCGACATTTTATTAATACCAACACACACACACACACACACACACACACACACACAGCCTGTGTAAATCCATTGAAGTCAGTGGATTTAGAAGGGTATAACTCTGTTCAGGACTATACCATATTACACAAGGTAGAACACTGTCCCCCAAAACTAGAACACTGAGTATTATGTATTATCCTAATGTATGGACTAGATTATTCCAGTTCTCATGAAACCTTTATATTACTGGGCAATTTCAATATAGTAGTAGTTTCTTGTTAAGATAACAGAGTCCATTTCCCAGTTGGAGGGAAAAAAACCATTGCTGGTAGTCTGCCCCACTTCAGAAAGTCACATGGAAGGTTTTAGGCACATGGTGATCTGGGGTGATAAGCGTTTGGGAAGGATGTGCATGTGTGTGCATGCATGAATATATGTCCTCACCAGTGTGGGGGCCTTCTTCAGTGTATGAATGTGGGACAAGAGAATCCATAATTTAAACAAGGCATAAAGTTAACCATAGGGTCCCTGGATCTTTGAGTGTGTGTGTGTGTGTCCATTCTAGAGGAAGTTCTCTGGTTATTTTTAGTTGAGATTTCAAGTTTGTTCTTCTTTCTTCTCCATTGCAGATTCTTTACACTGGAGTGGTTGTCTATGCACCAGCTTTAGCTCTCAATCAAGGTGAGTTTCTAGTCCAACACACACAACTTTACCAATCATTCTTGTCAGGACAGAAGGGAAAAAATGAGAAATTTGAAAACCTTATATACTTTGGAAAGCATTTTGCCTTCTCCTGCTACCATCTGGCAATCCTCCATCTTCTTCTCTCTCCTTACAAGATTCTGTGCTTTATTTGTTCAGTTGTCCTTTTGCCAAAAAGTAACCAGAGAAGATGTGTGTCAAGCAGTTACTTAAGGTCTTGGCATAGTGTTCAGTACAGGGTAATGATCCCAGACTGGATTATGTACTTTGACACTTTTGTTCTTTCTGCCTAATGTTGTAATACCATATGTAATGTGAACAGGGATAAAACAGAGATTCCTCAGATTATAAATAATTCTGTTAACCTCTGCAAGGTTTTATATTTATTGCAGTCTAATACTGTGTAATATCCCACCTGAGTCAGGTTTGATTTTATTCACTCCACTGAAGGACCATTTGCAAAAAGGGATATTTCTCTCAGAGGAACAATAACAGTGATATTCTGTTATTCAAAGAATTCTTATCCCATAGCTTGTTTCCCTTTTACTGGAGATCAGGGGCTGGATCCATATGTGCATGGAGGTTTTCAGCCTCCCCTTCTGGCAGCAGCCCAATGTGACTCTACAAAAAGACTCCCCGAGGATTGTGGGACAACCAGTACTGTGAAGGTTGCCACTGGAAGTAGGGTTCTCATTTGCCTGCTTATGGTGGGAAACCTCCAGCCAATTGTAGCCTTTGCCCATCAGTGGTCAGCTGGTCAGTGGGTGGAGACTGGGGCCAAAGGGGAGCTCATGATGGTACTGGGGAGGACTGGGGTCCTCATCTACTTACAGGAAATTTGAACCATAGAGTTCCTGACAATTCCTAGAGCTGTCCAGAAGTTATAAGGGTAGCTGAAGCAATTGCCAGAAACTCTAGGGTAATCTTACCATAGCATTTCTGGCAATTGCCATTTTTTGAGTAGCTCTAGGGTTAAGTAGCTGAGACCTTATTTTTTAAAAAAATATCCTGGGATTCTGCCCCCCCCCCCCACTGTAACTGGAAGGAAAAGCTGGCTTGACTCATTTTGCTGTACCAAGTGACTAGAGTTCAGCATGAGCAGAAGCAATACGAATGGGAAGGCCATACCTTTTCCCATGTGTCACTACTGGCTCCCAGCAGCCGAGGAATAAGCAGGAAGGGAGCATTCACTCCCTCCTGTTTGTGTCACTCGGTTCCAAAGGGTGAAAAATGTTTCTTCAGCTCATTATGGCTAGCAGGTGATTACCAGCTATGCCATGCCACTTCTTCCTCCATTATGGCAGTCCTGCTAGTTTGAAATTGGGTGGGCTCTTGGGTAGTGAACTCATCCTGCTGGAAGGGACAATTGGCAACTCTCCTGTACACAGAGGAAGTACCCTCCCAGCTCTTATTTTCCTTGCTCATTTTTTCTTACAGTATTAATTGAGTAACTAACTAATTGGAATAATACTAAATAACTATTGGAACCTTAGCAAATCCTGAATTTAAATTGTAATTGTAATTTAAATTGTAATTCTATCAAATGGCTCTTAGAATTCTCACAGTCCCATCATAAGGTCAGAAAATTCTGATATATCAGTAAAAGGTCTATCAAGGGTTTGTAACTAATGACTACATTTCTTTTTGATTTCTAATAGTCACCAGTACATGTAGATATTTAATGAGACAGGCTGTAGATAGTCCAATATTTTTTGAGAAATATTACTTTCCACTGCTTTGATGAATGATCAGATTTCTTCTCCATGTCCTTAATTTACCGGTAAATGTCCACATTTATCATTAAAGGTTGGGAAATTTATATAGGTCTCATAACACATTATATACAAGATAAGTAGCTGTGTTAGTCTTTAAGGTGTGCTACTGGACTCTTACTCTTCTCTACTCCTAGGTAAAGGAAAGGTAAAGGTTTCCTTTGCTCGAAAGCCAGTTGAATCCGACTCTAGTGTTGCGGTGCTCATCTCCATTTCAAAGCTGAAGAGCCAGCGCTGTCCGAAGACGTTTCCGTGGTCATGTGGCCGGCATGACTAAACACCAAGGCGCACAGACTAAGACAATTTGTGGTAGGGTATGAGGTTCCACGATACCTGAAGAAGTGAGTGGTGACTCACGAAACCTCATACCCTACTGCAAATTTTGTTAGTCTTTAAGGTGTTACTGGTCTCTTACTCTTTTCTGTTACATTATATACAGTTAGTGCTGCTAAACCTGAATAATTTCCAGGTGCTTCAGTTAATGGCCCATTTGCCCCCACTCCCAGTTAATATGGAATACCATGTGGTCAACAGGAAAGATATAATCCCCCCCTTTCACAAGTGGAAAAATCTATTCAGTCAGCTTTCTGGTGGCAGTTCCCAGTGGGTGCTACTCTGTAAGGCCCCCTGATCTTGGAAGGGGGATTTTATTATCTTAGAGCTATTGCTATATTGCTATATGCACAACCTGAATCACCTGGATTCAGTTCCAGAAATTAAATATTAATGGTTTTTATTTTAAAAAATATTTTATTAAGAAAAACATTTAAAAATAGCATCAGGAAATAAAATATTAATGAAGGTCTTTGTATATAACATAAATTCCATACATATTCCTTGGAATTTTAGATTTGAAATACATCAAAAGCTTCTAACTTAAGCTTTGATATGAAAAGACACATATTTTGCAATATAATGTGCATAACTGATAATTAACAGAAAGACTCTGCTTAAACAATTTCATTAAATGTTTTGGTATAGATTTCCCCCCCCAGTTTTATTCTACAATACTTTCCAGACTAGATTGTTTTTCTTGATACATGTCAAAAAGCCAAATGTAGCTCTTATTCAATAATATGGGTCCTAGTTATTCATCTTCTAAACAAAACCAGTTTTCCATTATTTTCTATACATAAGAAGAGCAAGGCTACACTGATAAATGGTAGTTGAAAAATCTGTGCAGGAGCCACTTATTCTACAGTACCAGGCCATTGCTTCTTTGGCTCTTACAGTTCAGAGAAGATCGTCTTTAAAAAAATAATAAAGTGGGACACAAGTTCATGAATAGAAGAAGCCAAAACTAGAAGTGCACAGTGACCCCTAAATAGTCTCAAATCAAACAGAATGTTTTCCTTTCAACAATGTACTTTTTAAAAATTGGAAAGTGTGGGGAGAGGGAGTGGCTGAGAAAAAGTATTGCAATCAGAGACCTAACAGCACTTTCTCTTCTATTTATTTGCATTGATGAAGTATTAAAAAAAAGTTTGAGCTATTTTCCACCATTAATTTATGCCCTCGGTATTATTGTCAAATTGTTGAAAGAGAGTAATAGAGGCAGTCTTTATCTTTTTTTAAAAAAAGCAAACAATTTAGACAGGGGGTGACAACTGGCATCATGCCTTTTTTTTTTAAACAAAATTTTATTCCGGATATAATTAATCACATCCAACATTAATTTTACATTTAACCTTCTTTCCTCCAACCACTTCTTCATTACAAGTTCACTAGGTAACTGTTCTTCAACTATTACAATTATATCTCTATCCTTTCATATTATTAAAAATCAGTACTCAAAATAAGTTGTCTCTTACATCCCAATATTTTTCCAAATAGTCTTTTAACTCTTTCCAATCTTTATAGAAATCTTCTGCTTCCATATTATTAAGTTTCCATGTCATCTTGTCCATTTCAACCGAAAACAATAACTTTTTAATCCAATCCTCGACTCTCAGGATTTCATTTTGCTTCCAGCATTGAGCATAGGTCATTCTGGCTGTTGTTATCATATACCACATCAATGTCCTTTTCGCCACATTGACCTCTTCCATTTTTAGCCCCAAAAGTAATATTTCTGGTTCTTTCTTAAATTTACATTTCAGAATTTTTTCCATCTCTACATGAATTTCACTCCAATTTTTTTTGCCTTTTCACAAGTCCACCACATATGATAAAACGAGCCCTCAACTTTTTTGCACTTCCAACATTTGTTTGACATACTAGTATTCATATTAGCAATCTTTTTTGGCGTCATATACCACCTATACATCATCTTATAACAATTTTCTTTTAAATTATTACATGTTGATATTTTCAGTGCATTTTTCCATAGATACTCCCAAGACTCCATCGTTACCTCTTTGTTCATATTCACAGCCCATTTTATCATTTCTTCTTTAACTGTCTCATCCTCAGTATACCATTTTAACAGTAATTTATACATTTTTGAAATACATTTTTTCCCTCCCTCAAACCACACATTCTCAATATCATTATTCTTTTTTCTAAAACCAAAGGTTTTTAAAATCTTTTTTAAACAATTCATTTATTTGTCTATATTCAAACCAACCATATTTAAATGCTAATTCTTCTTCCATTTTCAGTTCAAACGATTTTCCCACTGGTTTTAACATATCTTTATATTGTACCCTATCTTCTCCTTTATATCTCGAAAAAGGTTTTATTACCTCTGCCGGTACAATGCTTTTATGCAAGTGTTAGAAAGCAGTGTAATAAAGTGAAATGGATGCAACTGAATTTACTCTGGACCCATTTGAGCAGCTTGCTCGAGCATTAATTGTGATTTGTTTAATACAGTTGGTTGACTCACATGTCCCTTTGCAGCAGTATGGTCACCGAGAGCAGTATAGGGATGATGTTCTTCCTCCTGGAAGGAGGAGAGGGACAAAAAACACAAACCAGGGTTTACACACAACCTGTCACTTTCATCTAGTAGACTGACAAAGGTCATTAAATGAGTGATGGTTTATATTGGTTTCCGAATATAGCTTTCCAATTAGTGCTTGGGAAGAGTTGTATGTCTGCAGTAATAATTTTTAAAATGTTTTATGGATGTTTTTCATATATTTTCTTCAGATATAGCCAATAATCATTTGCAGGGTGCTGGCAAAATAAAGCTGAGTCCTCAATAAAAGGGAAACCTTATCCACTAGGCAGAGAGAATATCTATTAAGAGATAATGGAAGGCGATAAGTAAAAGTAAGGGCTGTCTATATCCTGTTAGAAACAACCTGTTTTAGTGATTGCAGTGGCTCTAAAAGAATGGTTCCTAATTTGATTTTATTTGTCTTTGCAGTGACTGGATTTGATCTTTGGGGCTCCGTTTTTGCAACAGGCATTGTTTGTACATTCTATTGTACCCTGGTATGTCCTTGGCATACAGTCAGATTGTGAATGTGAACAATGCAGATCAGCAAGTTCTTACAAAAATTGTTCTCGTTACAATTAAAGATTATACTAATGAACACACATCATTCAAGGTCACAGCGCAATTCTGAACCTGCATTTCCCATAAAGAAATACCTTTATTCTTGTGCCATAATTTGTTTTGAAATATTCAAAAGAAAGAACAAGGCCAGAGCCAAAATTGAAGGCTTCCAATACATTAAAAAACCTCTGAGTAGCAGATTAGCTGTTATCTTGAATGATCTACCTTTCCTATCAGAAGCAAATAAGAGTTTGGATTGTAGAATACATTTGTGGCTTCATTTCTGAGTGACATACAATGATGGTGGATTAGAGATGCCAGCCTCCAGGTGGGAACTGGGGATTCCCAGGAATTACAGCTCATCTCCAAACTACAGAGATCAGTTCCCCTGGAGAAAATGGATGCTTTGGAGGGTGGACTTTATGACATTGTACTCCACTGATGTCCCTATCCTCCCCACACCCAATCCCCAAATCCCATTAATTACAGGGTAGAACAGGGTAATTAGGTTTCCCATTAATTACAGGGTAGAACACATTTTTACGTAAGTATTTCAGTTTTCAATGTTGTGTGACTATAAATTTCCATGTACCTTGTGAAGATTGTGGAAGAGTTTGTTCCCACGTCCGTATACATCACCCAATAACTGAAAGTTTAACTTTGTTATGAAGTACTAGGAAAGTTCCACGTATAAGATCTGATTTGTGATGGCTGTTTCACACATGAGTATATAAACTGAGCCTTCAGAGTGAAAAAAATACAGCCATAGACCTGACCCTACTGAAATCAGCCTACTGTGTTTCCTTGGAGAACTCATGTACCTTAGTATTTTTGGATGCCAATTTCAGCTTGTAATTCCAGCCACTTTAAATCTGTAGCAGCACAGTTTTAAACTAGATGCTGTGGAAATGCACTCCCACGGGGGAGTGCTTTTGACTCAGCATGAGACTGTGGGCTGAGTCCAGCCAGCTTCTTTGCTAAATCTTGCAGTTTCCCTATTTATTACAGCACTTGTCACACATGGTTTTTATTAATTCAGATCCAGCATAGCCTTTCCGGTGGCCAAAGAGGATCTTGTCCTCTTTTTTGCAGAATGGAAAAGCAGTCAGGATCCAAGCCACTGTTTGAAAGGGCAAGGTATTGAAGGAAGAGGAAAGTGTTTCAGTTATCATGGAGCCTAGAGTAATGGTCTCTTGTACCAATCCAGCCTCACACAGGCTCAGTTTCCATATGAGGGGGACTGAGGTGGTAGAATGTTGAGGTCACAGAAGGGGCAGCATCATTCAGACTGTAGGAGGAGGATCATGAAAGTTCACATTTTGAAATGCTCCCTACTTTTAAAATTCACTGCAAACAGAAAACTAGGACAGCAAGCAATGTATTACGGTACAATCTCTTCCCTCCCTGTGTTTCTGGAAAGTGCCATAAAGTCACAGTTGACTCTGTAGAGTTTTCAAGGCAAGAGATGAACAGAGGTGGTCTGCCATCACCAGCCTCTGCACAGCAACCCTAGATTTCCTTGGTGGTCCCCCATCCAAGTAGGGATGCCAGCTTCCAGGTGGGATGTGGCGATCCCCCAGAATTACAGCTCATCTCCAGACTACAGAGATCAGCTCCCCAGGGGAAAAATTGATGCTTTGAATGGTGGACTGTATGCCATTATTCCTCACTGAGATCCCTTTTCTCCCCGGGCTCCACCCCCCAAATCTATGGGCATCTCCCAATGTGGATCTGGCAACCCCATCCCCATCCCTTGCCAGTGGCCAGGAGGGACCTGCCAACCCTATATCCAAGTACTAACCAGGACAGACCCTGCTTAGCTTCCACCAGCAGGCTAACTTGCAATATCCAGGCGAGGGCCTAGGAATGCTGGAATCAGGTTTACTACACAAAGTTCAAACTGACGCCAGAATCTATGAAAAACTGGTTTGGAGAGGAACTGTTTAGGGCCAGCCCTGCTTAGCTTCCTAGGCTTGAAAGGATTGGTCTAGCCTGGGCCATCCAGGTAGGGTTGACAGGCCCCTCCCAGCTACTGGTGGGGGACGGGTGGGTAGGATTGCCAGATCCAGGTTGGGAAACTCCTGGACATTTGGGGGTGGAGCCTGGGGAGGACTGGGACCTAAGTGGGGTACAGTGCCATACAGTCCACCCTCCAAAGCATCCATTTTCTCCAGATGAACTCATCTCCATTGTCTGGAGATGAGCTGTAATTCTGGGTAATTCCCAGGTCCCACCTGGAGGCTGGCATCCCCAAATCCGTGCCAGGGTCCTTCCATACTAGGGTTTTTGTTTGTTTGTTTCTTGTTTTGGCTTGAAATGGAATAATCATAGGTGGAATCTGCTGTCTGAAGTGGTGCATTCTATTTTATCACTTCAACATTCCATCAGTGCATTCTTTAGCATATATAGACCAAACCTGAGTTAACTAGTCAGGGCACGATGTGGAAGGGAATGGACATTCAGCTGTGCATCTAATATACATCCCATTGAAAGCAATGCAGTGCAGGTGAACCTTGTGCATCTGCATGTGGATCTTGTCCTTTGTATTCAGAGATTTTCTATAGGACGTGGATCTGAAGATGCATCTGAATTTGCACCCGACCCCCTATATTTTACAGCAACTGATCATATATAACTATGGAGACTGATGCTGGAATGGGACTAAGTTCTTGCTGCACAGCATTAGCTGGCAGTTTCATTGCCAGGCCATGATGACAAGGCAGGCAATTTCAGTTATTTTGCTATCAGGTATAGAGTTCCATCCTCAAAGCAACATCAGGTTGTGAGAATAGGGCTTTTGAACAGATTGGAAAAATGTGGAAAAAATGGAAAGAAGGGTATTTTTGCAAATTTCCCCCAAAGCCCCAAATGGAAACTTCCATAGTGAAAATTGAATCTCATGAAAATTCATCCCAGTGCGAATTGTATGCTTTTTGGAATAAACCTGTGTGTCATACATGGCGTAGTAAGATTTTTCTGAGGTTTAAATTCTAACAGAGCTCAAAATGAAGGCCTATACCTGTGTTCTGTCTGTTTTAGGGTGGATTAAAAGCTGTGGTCTGGACTGATGCCTTTCAACTGGTCGTCATGCTGATAGGTTTCTTAACAGTTTTGGTTCAAGGGACTATTCAGAATGGGGGACCTAATAAGATCTGGGAGACTGCTAAGAATGGATCACGCCTCACTGTATTTGAGTAAGTAGAATGGCTCATGATGGTTGGATCTTGGACCTTGTTCATTGATTTATTGTTAATTAGATGGCTCTCTTTTTAATCACAAGAATTTAATATGAGACAGGATGAGCTTGACCACTTTGCCCCCTTTGTTCAAATACAATATGCTACTTTGGCTAAACTCTTCTGAACTTATCTGTTAATGTCAGGTGCCTTAGCAGGATTTAGACGTAGCTTGCCATGGCTGAAAATGTGTCACCAAACTGGCACAGTTCATTTTTGAGTACCCGCTCCCCAGTTCTGAATTTTGATGCCACAAGTACTAAGAATCCTCCACGGTAGTAGATCTGACAAGCATGAATTGTATTTTAGGGCTGATGCCTTTATTTTCTCCTTTGAAGCAACTAGGAAGCCTATAGCCAACTTGTGTTAGAAACTGGATGTTGGACTAGATGGAATATCCAGTGGGATACTTTTGTTTTTTATGGTTTTGGCTATTATTTCAGTCACAATACACGATGCCTAACCTTCTGCATGCTCCGATTCCACTGAGTTTAATGATATTTTCATCTGAAGGAAATATATTTAGGGCTGGAGCCATAAAGTAATAGAGGTGAGCTAAAATACAAGTTTAGATTTTTTATAAGGTGCATAAATCCAGGTACCGGTCACTGGTTTTATTTGTAAAGTGAACATGTGTTGGCTCTTTACAAACAGGTGTATGCATGTACAAGCAAGTGTACATGTTAACTGTAACATATGGACAGGGTTCATACGTTACAGTTCAGTACGCTCTTCTTAGGTAGTAATTTGAGTTATGTGTCTACAAAGTACTATATTTAAATTATATGAGAAATGAAAAAGTTCATATCTAGCCTTTTTAAAAATTAAAATGCAGGGAAGATTTGGATCTGTTAGTATGGCTGCTTGTATCCTGAGGGTGTAATCCTATATATACAATTAGACTTCTAAAGTATTACCAAAATCAATAGGTTTTAAGTAGCTAAACTATGTACAAAATTGCAGCCTAAGCAAGTAAAGGTTTAAAGAAACAGAATCTGAATTAATTAACTCTGATGTTTCTTGGTTCTGTAGCTTTGACATTGATCCCCTGAGAAGACACACATTTTGGACAATCGCAATAGGGGGGACATTTACCTGGTTAGGTATTTATGGAGTTAATCAGTCCACAATACAAAGATGTATTTCCTGCAAATCAGAAAAGCAAGCCAAACTGTAAGTAATCAATGAATTGTATTCTATATTGGCACCTATGTAAACAAGGGGTCATTTCACAGAAAAAGAGGTGCAGGAGCTCTTTAGCATAACTCATTAGCATAACTTATTTGCCTATGCCACACCCCCTGACATCACCGGAAGTGTGTCAGAAGGCAACACCCACCGCACAGGCTCCACTGGACTGTTTTGGATTGCTAGCTGGTGGGGGTGGGGGAGGAACATGCAGATCTGTCCCCACAGAGGAGGGAGAGCTTGTACCTGAATAAAACTTTGCCTTAAAGGTCCCACTGGACTGTTTTGGACCGGGGGGGGGCTCTGCAACTTACCTGGCTGCTTCTTGCTCTGACTGAGGGCTTCTGGGAGCAGGGGGTGGGGCTTGCTGCATGTGCCTGCCCCCTGGGCTCCGCTCCTGTGCGCTCCTGCAGGAAATGACCCCTCATGTAAACAGATACATGTAAAAATTGGTGCCATCTGTTCTTATTTGTATGGTATGGATAATTTCAGAGACTGGAAATCCAGATCAATAACACAAAATTCACATATTAGGTAATAGCTATAATGTGAGGATTGTGAAATAAAACAGATATATCTTAGTATCACATCACAGACGTATCTTAGTATCACATCATTTTTTTCAACTAATTCTATGGGTTGGATCCAAATATTTGTGAGAGGAACTCTGCTCACATAATGTATGTTTCCTGCCCACTGCTGTCTTCTCCAAACTGCTCCTGGAGGTCAGGAGACCCTTGGGAACTATGAAGTGTACAGAATAGGGGGATGTTTCCTCAGTGGCTATCAGCAGAAACTGTAGATTATCTCTTGCTTGAGCAGAAGTCACTTTGTACCCAACCCCATTACTCTGAGTAAAGTAATTTGATGACCGCAAACTTAGCATATTAAAAAAAATCATTACAAAATGTGCTTCATAAACTGAGACATGTGTAATCATTTTTTCTTTGTGCAAGTTCACACTTTATGCAGCAAATATTGTTGCTATAAGATCACAGCTTTCCCACAGATGTGTCCTGCAACAGTAAATAAGCTTGGATCCCGTGGTGCCACTCTGTCAATGCAGCAGCAGCAGCAGCAGCAGCACTCTTCTGTCTGAAGTGGAGGGAAGGACGCTTTTTGCTGATCCCCCTCCCTGCTGCAGACTTCCAGTTTGCCCTTTCTTTGAGTCCACTGACTTGCAAAAGCAGAATTTTGGGTGGCAAAGAAAGTAGCAGTAGAGAAGTGGGGAATTTGCATTCCTTGAGCACAGCTCTGCTCCTGCTGCTTAGAATCCAAACCACAGTGTGAACTACCTGCGGGACCGCCTTTCCCCGTATGTTCCCCCAAGAGCACTGAGATCTGAGTCACAGGACCGTTTAGTCCCCCCTGGCCCTAGGGACGCCAAATTAACATCTACTAGAACTAGGGCGTTCTCCTTGGCAGCACCAATACTATGGAACCAACCCCCCCATGAGATCCGTGCCCTCTGGGATCTCCGTCAGTTCCGGAGAGCGGTAAAGATGGAGTTATTCCGCCGAGCTTTTAACAACTCAGACCAAGCATGAAAGCACTTTATGGTTGCCGCTATGAGCATGTTGTACATGTTGCACTGTGTATAAATTGCGATTTTAATGTATTGTATAGATTGTTTTAGAGGAATTGCTTGTTGGTTTTATTGTTGTAAGCCACCCTGAGCCGCTTCGGCGGGAGGGCGGGATAAAAATCAAATAAATAAATAATAAATAAATAAACAACAGACAGCCGAAAGGACTGTGTAGAAAGCCCTGATTGTGTTGTGGCTCCCTGACACATAGACACCAATGTTTAGGCATTTGCATCTGCTGGTTATACTGTATGTGTTCCCTTTGGAAAATATCATGGACTTGGGATAGTGTAATTTCAGCAAGAAGCCTAGAGCCCTTTGACAATGGTCTTTAGCAGCCTTTTTGATGGCAACCTGAAAATAGCAACTGAAATATGAGGATGTGTTGCTGCATTATTCCTAAATAGCATCTTTCTCTCTTTCTCTTTCTAGTGCTCTGTATTTTAATTTAATAGGATTGTGGGTCATCCTGGTATGTGCAGTCTTTTCTGGTTTGGTGATGTTTTCCCATTTTAGGGGCTGCGATCCTTGGACTGCTGGTTTTATTTCAGCACCTGATCAGGTAGATAAAAACATATCATATGTAAACAGAAAGCTGGTTTATTGTTTGAACAATGGCATTATGTATGTATGTATGTATGTATGTATGTATTTTTCATATTTGTATCCCGCCCTCCCCAATGGGCTCAGGGCGGCTAACAAGGGCAAGGTCATTTGCCATGCCATAGGTAAAAACATATAAAACATAGTTAAACATCCAACACTAAAACCACAGTACTCAATCCATTACTAATATCCTAAATCCAAGATGGTAACACCGCAGTTTTATGTAACTATATTGGTTAGGAAAAGGCTTATGTGTCTCATGAGCAGATTTCCCATATTCAAATGCAGCATCCAGAGAGTTCAGATGTGCATGGCTATTCCTAAACACATTCCTAAACACACCTGAGGTCACATTACATCTATCAGCATAAATGTATCTACCAGTACTGAATGCTGGATGGACAAAAGTGTGAAATGCAGAATATGAGTGTTGAATTGGCCAGCTTTCCTGCCATTTCTGGGTCCAAGGATCATTACCAGGCACAGGAAAGTGGCACAGAATCAGTATGGCAATGGCTGCTGTAGACAGATATGACATTTATTAATCTTTTATCTTGACCTTTGTGGGGGGGAAAGGAAAGCAGGACCAGCACTATGTCCCTCTGTTCCATTTTAAATCTAAAGCCCCCCCCAAAAAACAGAGAAGCACAGCCACCAATCAATGATAAGAAGGAGAGCATGCAAGGCTGTGTATGGACACTAAAAACAATTGCTAGCCAATCATATACAAATTATATATTGTATTACAAAAATTTCATTCAGTACAAAGTATAGTGTAGCATATACAGTAAGGGTGCAAAACAGTATAGTTGATGAAGTTTTCCGGATAATGTATTCGTTTCGTAATCTTCTTCTGAACAGGACCAATGTAGGTTTTCAAATGGCAAAAGTCATTTTTTTCTGCTTGTTGAGTAAGTCTGTGTACAGTCAATCAATCAACAATCTTCATAGAGGAAGTACAAATTCCTATTAAAGTTTACAAGGCATATCAACAATCTAAAGTTGGGCCATCATATTCATCAGAATTCAAGGACAGAGGTCAGACTTCTGACTTTTCTTTCCTTGAATTCTGATGAATTTTTGCCTTGCATGCTTTCCTATTGCCATTTTAAATCTATGGCACTAATGATTCTCAGTGCTGCCCTAAGCAGTACACCCTTCTAAGCCTACAGCTCACCATGGGCTTGGAAAGGAGTAACTATGCTTAAGATTGCACTGTCTGTATACTAAGCCTGCTTGCTAACATGTGTTGATATATAGTTGTTGTGAGGTATAAAAGAAATATAACTATAGTAAATGCACATAAAATATTTTTGCGGTTTTAATCTAGAATATATAACCATGCTTTTAGTGTCTTCTCTCGTCCACCAGTCTGATACAGTGTACCTGCCAGAGGACTATGCTTGCTGTTGTTCTCCTGAAAAGCAGGGCATATATGTAGCGACAGATAGGCTGAGATACCAGGCTGGGAGGACAGCTAGATTTGAGTCCAGTAGCACAGACCAACAAGATTTCCAGGGTGTAAGATTTTGAGAGTCAAATTTCCCTTTGTCAGATACTGGGAGAAGAATGTCTGATTTATTCCCTGTATGGGAAGATTAAATAAATCACTCTATTTCCTCCCAAATCCAATACCAAACTGAGCAGATTCATAGCTTTTAACTGGGGCCATTGGGGAAAAAAAATTACAGTAAGCTGGGGCAAGGTCGAACAAGGTGGCCTTCTCCACAACTTAATACCCAGAGTAATGGAGCTATTTATAGTTAATATCCTAAATAAAGGGCTTCCTTTAGGCAACTCTGGGTCAGCCACAACTGTATCATGCCGTCACACAGATAACAGTGATTTCTAATTGCCACACGAACTCTGGTTACAGCCAGATCCAGAGGTTGGTAAAGAAAGGCACTTTCCAAAGACCCCTAAAAAGATAAGACCTCACAAATGTCATAGCACCATCATTCTAAGGATAGAAGCATAAGAGAATTCTCAATATACATGCCCACCTCTCTCAATCTGAGAGAGTCTACTAGGCGTATCCTGCCTGAGGGCCCTCAAAATCGTGAAACCAATACCAGCTCTGTATAAAGGATCTGTTTGAGGGTCTCAGTGTGAGGACTTCCATAGAAGTGTCCTCATTCATACAGAAGCAGGTGGGGTCTCTCTTGTGTGCCTAGTTCAACATTCTATTTCAAATTAATGTGAACTTGCCCATAAGTGCATATTGAATTTCCATTGGCTGAGGCAACTGTCTTCATCTTTCTTTCTTTTTTCCTCCCACAGCTAATGCCATATTTTGTTATGATCATCTTTTCCTCAGCCCCTGGAGTTCCAGGATTATTTGTTGCATGTGCATTCAGTGGAACGCTCAGGTCTGTGCATAATTGGGTTGGCTCTAACCTGCTCCGCTAAGCTGGCTTTAGTGGAGGAAAACCAAACAGAGCATCACAGGAGAACTGAATGCTGATGGGAATGCTGCTCTTGAAAAATGCTGCATCATTTCTTTCCCCTTTATCCCTGCATCAAAATGCTGCAGTGCTTTGTCTTTCTGTATTCATTCCAGTAAAAACCCTGTGGTACGCTCTGGAAGATAGATGTTCCCATATCTTCCTATACTAATTGGGGGGGGGGGAACTTCACACAATTTAATCGATGGAATTAAAATGCCATGCAAAAACCAATTATCATTTAAAAAAACAACAAATCTAATGTCAGAAAATATAGAAAGACACTAAAGAGTTAGGCAAATGATGCTGTTTCCCAGATAGACAATTGTGCTATTTTCTTTTATTCCTCCCTAGGTCTCTCACATCAGGCATGTGCTTATGGAGAATAGAAATGAAAAAAGGAGAGCTAGAGGAAAAGACAGATGAGTGAAACAGGCTGGCACGTTATATAAGATGCTGCAGATAGATTCTGATTCCAATAAAATGACTTTCCCACTTGATGTATTTATTTTAAAATATTTTTGGAACCACTCTCACAGCAGAGGTTCTCAAGAGGTGCAGTCACAATTTTAAAATGAATCATAATAAAATCAAATAAAAACAGTGGAGTGAAAAAAGCAATCGACAGTGAATACTCAAATTAGCAACAGAAAATATCTTTAAGCAGTACAAAGGTTAGCAGCTGTTGAAAGGTCACTATTAAATCCCATTTTAAGCAGTAGAAAAAATAAAATTGTAACAGATTAGTAGTTAAAAACAAACAAGCCTACTACCACTACCACCACACAACACAACAATGCTAAAACAAATAGACAACACCTTTGATGAATGGAAGATCATTATACGGAAGTACAGTTGGTACAAAATAGTGCAGACTGAACACTGAGTGGAGTGGGTCATTGGGAAGATATCACTCCAGTCTTGTTCTATTTACACTGGCTCCCAGTTTGCTTCCAAGCTCAATTCAAAGTGAAGGTATTGACTTTTAAAGCCTATATAGCTTGGGGGCCGAATGCCTTAAAGACTGCCTACTGCCATATGAACTACCCATCTCTATGAATGCATTTCCAACAGCTGGCTCCGAAAATGTATGAGAGGAGTTTTAAGTATCCTGCTGAGCCCACATACATCACTTACCAGCCAGCCAGGCTCAGCCCTCTTTTGGGGTCATGTGAATTATCATTGCACCAGTTTATATTTGACTTAGCAATTTTTTTGTGTTAATGCAACCCATTTGGAGACCTATCCTGACCAGCAAGTTATTCTTACACTGATTGTGTTTATTTTTACAGCACAGTGGCAGCAAGTATAAACGCTCTAGCAACTGTAACATTTGAAGATTTTATCAAGAACTGTTCATCAAATCTCTCTGAAAGAATGAGCACTTGGGTCAGCAAAGGTTTATGTAGGTACAGTAGATTGATTTGGTTCTTCTTGACTGGAAATCCCCAAAATGAAATCCACTGGCAAAATGGTACTTCCATTGAAGCCAACTGAAATCAGTTTGGTATAAGTTATGTCTTCTTGAATTTCTTAATCGTAACAGATGAACACTTGCACAGATGACTGCAAATGTGTGTGTCTTGGTCAATGTTATGTACAACCTCACCAACTATCATATACAAAAAATTATGGGCTCATTTGGTGTATAATTTGTCATTTTATCAACTGTTTAGCCAACTTCATTAACCTTGTTTCTGAAGCAATAGATCCTGTTGGTGTTGTCATGCACCCAGTTTGCCTAATTATTCAGAGAAATAAAGGTAACTTAAGGGCATAAAACATTAGAAAAGCCTTGCTGAATCAGACCACTGATCCATCTAGTCCAGCATCCTGTCTCACACAGTGGCCAACTAGTCATTTTGAAGGGCCAACAACGGGGCATAGAGGCCAAGGCCTTCTTCCAGTGTTGCCTGCTGACACTGATATTCAGAGGTTTACTGCCTTTGAAATGAAGATTCCCCTAGTCACCATGTCTAGTAACCACTGATAAACCTATCATCATGAATTTATATAACCCTGCTTTAAAGCCATTTATACTTGTGGCCACATCAGTACATCCTCTGGCAATGAATTCCAGTCTTTGGCTAAAGTATTTCCTTTTGTCTGTCCTGAATCTATTGACCATCAGCTTTATTGGGTTGGTTCAAGCTCCCTCTCTTTTGCAAAAGGGAAAAATGTTCTATCTATCCCCTCTCTCTGCCCCATGCATAATTTTGTAAACCTCTATTATGTTCCTCTTAGGTTCTTTCCCCCCCTTAAACTGAATAACTCCTGGATGTTTGTAGTAATATCTATAACTCTTTTTTCAGGTATAGTATTTGGTATAGTATGTACCTCAATGGCTGCAGCAGCATCGCTTATGGGTGGCGTTGTGCAGGTAACTACAAATCTGAAGGCATTTTGTATGACCCAGAAGGTCAGTGTGTATTAGGATGTGACAGTTTTTTCATGAGTAAGAAGTCTTCCACATGGGTAGTGGGCAACATAAGAGAAGCCATGTTGGATCAGGCCAATGGCCCATCCAGTCCAACACTGGGTCACACAGTGGCTCAAAACCATGTCCCATCAGGAGGTCCACTACTGGGGCCAGGACTCCAAAAGCCCTCCCACTGTTGCCCTCCAAGCACCAAGAATACAGAGCACCACCATATCATTTGCATTTTTTATTGCCATTGTACACTGAGTTGACCTTTTCAGTGAGCTATCTACCACAACTCCAAGATCTCTCTCCTGGTCAGTCTCTGCCAGTATGAACCCTATCAATGTGTATTTATAGTTAGGTTTTTTGGCTCCAGTGTGCATTACTTTTCACTTGCACACCCTGAACCTCATTTGCCATGTTGATGCCCACTTGCCCAGCCTCGACAGATCCATTACAATCCTTCCTGGTTCTCACCACTCAGAAAGAGAGGCTGGGGTCACATGACAAGCTTATCCAGGGTGCTCTGTGCAGGCTCAGAAACACTTTCACCCTAGGCTCACAGTTGAAAGCAAGCCTCGAGGGAGCAGCGCTGCCACTCCGGACCTTCCCCCCTGCCTCTGCTGCCCCCTCAGCTGCTTCTGGTGCTGCAATCCTGGCTGGGTCTGGGGGAAGCGTGTGGCTGAGTCTCACGAGCAACCAGCAGCCACCTGGATGTGGGCACCTTTGAGGAGGGGGGGAGAGTCGGATTGGGACCTCCAGGTGAGGCTCTTCTCTCTGCTGCCAAGTCCTCCAGCGTGGCTTCCCATCTCCCTGGCTGCCGGGATGACACATCACTTCCCGGGCTGCCCTCTCTCCCTCACCCAGGTCCCTTGGCACTTTCACGGCTTCTGGGGAACTCCAACTTTGGGACTTGGCCACCCCTAGAGAAGAGCAAACTTTTCTCTCTTTTATCTCGCGCACAGATTTGCCCCGGGAAACTCAGCCGGGAACCAAACCTCTCTCCACCCCCACCCCAATCCCACTGCCAGACCTCACAGGGTCCCCTGGTGCTTGGAAAGCTCTGGATTCAGTGTCTGGCTGCATCGCTACATTGCCCCCCCTCCTCATCACACCTGCCATGTTGGACATCCCTCAGGGAACCCGGAGTCCGGCCCATAACATCATGCTGTAGGCGAGTAAGCAGCGGAGTGGAGAGCTGGCCAGCTCGAGGGACAGCCAGGGACAGCAGAGGAACTTGGGCTGCCATCATTATTTACACACGGTCATGCGCAGCCCAGCCAATGGCAGGTTTTAATCACCAGCCCCAGAGAGAGCAGAAGAGGGACTCTCCTCCCCACCCCCAGCCCCCTTTAACGGGGCAGTAGCAGGTTCCCCCCAAAAAACAATGAACAAAATTACCCAGCCACATAAAAACCAAGTGCTTGAATCGACCATGCACATAACAGAGGAAGCTTGGGGGGGGGGGGAATCTCGCGAAGGACGGTCAGACGACCTAATCACAATCACTGCGAGAGGTGGCTGTCCAGATTGGCAAAATCGCGGATTCAAAGTGCAAATACCCAGAAAGTACTTGATGTTCCTGGTGTTGGAAAATTTCGTAGGGAACTGGGAGGATTGTGCGACTGAGATCACTTTGGTGCAGGAGGCGGATGCGGCATCTGATCAGCAAATTTAAATGCAAGCGAGAACAACAGTGAAACCCAATCAAAATGACCGTGTGACCACGGCCTTAGTGTCATCTGCAGACTTAGCCACTTCACTGCTTACTCCCAACTCCAAATCATTAACGGACAAGTTAAAAAACACTGGATAACAGATAAAACAGATAAAACAGATAGAACAGATAGAACAGATAAAAGGAAGTACTTCTTCACCCAAAGAGTGATTAACACATGGAATTCACTGCCTCAGGAGGTGGTGGCAACTACAAGCATGGACAGCTTCAAGAGGGAATTAGATAAGCATATGGAGCAGAAGTCCATCAGTGGCTATTAGCCGCACGGTATAGATAGGAACTCTCAGTCTGGGGCATGTGATGCTCTGTATTCTCGGTGCTTGGGGGGGGGGAGCAACAGTGGGAGGGCTTCTAATGTCCTGGCCCCACTGGTGGACCTCCTGATGGCACCTGGTATTTTTGGCCACTGTGTGACAGACTGTTGGATTAGATGGGCCATTGGCCTGATCCAACATTGGCTGCTCTTATGTTCTTATGAAGCATCTCATTTTCCCTCACTTACTATTTCTTCTTTCCCTTTCCAGAAAGCCCCCATAGCCTCTCCCCTTTTCCTGGTCACTTCTCTCCTTACCATCCAACAGCGGACCTACACTTATTTGCCTTCCATCCCTCCTTCCTGGCAGCCTCTCCACAGGAAAATTATGGTCCAGTTGTGTAGTACTGGAGGGAATCTGCAAAGACTTGTGTGTGTGGGGGGGGGTCACTTTGTCCTGCATTCTCTCCCTACATAATTTTCTATTACCCTCATCCTAAGAACTCCCATATCCTCACCTTTCCATGCTCACTTCTTTCCTTCACATGTGCCCACCAGTCTACTTTTTATCTGCCCCACATCATATTTATTTCTTCATCTGTATCCTGCTTTTTCCAACTGCATCACTCTCTCTTCCTCTTAACTTTCTCCCCCAATCTATATTTCTTTCTCTTTCTATCCCCTACCATCATCGCCACTGTTGGGGCGTCTGTGGGGTCTGATGGGGCTTCTTTCACACACACACACACACACACACTCTACCATCCCTGCAGCCAGTAGTGCATCTACTGCAGCTCCACGCAGGTGTACTGGGGCTTCCTTCCCTACCAGCTATCATCATTCCCAGAATTAAGCACAGTGCAGCTCCTGGTGCTATGAGAATATATGATTCTCATGCGTGGTGTTATGCACCTGGCACTTTTTTTCTAACAGAAAGAAACTGTAAGTGGTAAGTGGCTGTACTTTGGCAACATTTTTAATTAATGTGCAGGTAACATTGTCCCGAAAGAAAAAAAAGTTGTAGAGCCACTTATCTGTACTTTCTGCCTCCAAAAATGTGTAACTGGGGAGGACTTCCATTGCAAAACATTGGTGATTGGTTTAGATTTATTAGGGATCAGTCAGACCATTTGACCACAAGTGTAAGCTAAAAGTTGTTTTTAATTCAAGTGTACAAGAAAGATTTCTGGGCATTACTTAAGCTAGAAATGCAAAGCACTCCTAAAAACTGCTTGTTTTACTTACAGGAAAAAGTTAAAAACTACCTACATCTTTTGAACTCACTTTAAAACAGAATGCACTTTGTAATCAGAAATGATATACAAAGAAGAAATAGGAACTTTGTGTTCTCTAAGATAAGAAACTGAAAGAGCCATTAAAGGAAGAGGCAGTGGAGACACTAGATGATAATGATTAGTTTTCTTAAGTATATCCTTTGTTTCATTTTAATAGGCCTCACTTAGTATTCATGGAATGTGTGGGGGACCTATGTTGGGATTATTTACGCTGGGAATTATTTTTCCTTGCACCAACTGGAAGGTTAGTAATAACTGTCACGTCTTTGTATAGTTCATGTATGATACTACTAATTATTATCATCACCACAAAATACAGTAAACCTTCTATAACATTGTGTTGTTGGGCACCATATGATAATTAGGCCATGTTTTAATTGCTCCATAAACCCATAGGGTTGGGTCAAATAACTAAACTGGATTTGTAGAACAAACCTCTCCCATGAATGGAGCAAGAATTTACATAAGAGTGTGTGCATTCTGTAGATTCATTCTTCTTGCAGCACTTCAGCAGACCCCTGTGGTACATACCAATATGTATGGTTAAGGCATAGGATACATTACAGGTGCTATAGGAATATCCCTGAAAATTCCTCCTAGAAGTGAGCAATATTTCTGTCCCCCCAGCCTGCAAATCCAAAAGTACTCATCATATGGCACTTCTATTGCATTGTGTGTTGTTATACCATTCCCCCAACAGCATCTAGGATTGTGGAACAATGACAGGGAGACTCATAACTTGTGATGTTTTGGAAAGGGGTGGTGATGGAAATGAATCCACCCCACCAGGTCACAAGCATTCTGTCTCTTTATGACCCAAGCCAAAATCATTTCACATTTTGGAATAGTTGAAAAATAAACTAAGTCCAGCTGCTGTTTCCCCTTTCCCCAAACTTACAGGGATCAGGAGATACACCTGAGACCTTCATTATTCCATAACAAAGCATTGATTCCGGGAGATCCCCAGGTCCCATTTGGGGCTGGCATCTTTAGGCTGAAGGCTCTTGTAGGTGCCCTTCATAGTTTACAATCCACATATCTGAAGGGCCATCTCTTCCCATATGTGCCCATGTGCCAGTTATGGTCTTCTAGTTGGCACTAGGGGTGTGCATTTGGCTATATCCAAGCCAAAAAAATAGCTGAATATAGATATACGTCCTTTAAATGCCTTCAGAGTGAATGTTCACCTTGCAGAAGGCATTTTAAAAGGACCACAATGCCATTAAGCACTTTTTCCCATTGAAAAGAAAGGAGGATGTGGGCACCTTCCTCAGGGACTCATAGAATTGGACTGCCTGGTTCAATCTTTTTAACACTTGGGAGTTCTTTTGAGGAGAAGTACCAGCAGCTATGCAGCAAATTTGGTGCTTCTTCCTCAAAAAACAGCCCCCCCAGATATCCCCATAGGGTATAATGGAGCAAAAAAAAAATGATTTCCAAAAAATCCCAAATTTAAATTCCATACTGGTATTGGGATCTGGGAATATCAGGAAATACCAATTTTTTTTTGGTTCAATATACCTGAACCTTAAAAAAATACAGATTTATTTTGCACATCTGTAGTTGCCACCTTCGAGTTATTACCTTGGTTACAGTTACCCGTTTGGCATCTATTAGAGCCTAGTCCTTTTCAGTAGTGGATCCAACCTTAAGGAGATAAATGGGGGATGTCCTTAGAAGATTTTAGAATGTAAAGTGATTTTATTTGGTAGGGGTTTTAATGGGGTCTAAGCTGCTGATATTTTTGTTGGAAGGGAGGTTAATGGGGTTTTAGTATATTGTTTGCGGTTTTAATATGGAATTGTAAGCTTCCTTCAGCTGAATGAGAAAGTGTGTGTACGTTAACCTCAGCATCCTTTCATATTTGCCAATCTCATGCTTTGTTGAAGCATGTGCACTTTTAGTTTTTCTATGTTTCTTTTTCCCCCAGGGTGCTATTGCAGGTCTCCTGACTGGAATCACTTTAGCATTTTGGGTTGGCATTGGGGCTTTTGTTTACCCTGCTCCATCATCAAAGGCCCTTCCATTGTACCTCTCAACATCTGAGTGTGCTGTCAATAATACAGGAGTGATAGCTACAGTAACTCCTACAATACCACCTTTCAGGTAAGATTATCTTCCCCATACCACTGATAAGGTATGACATTTTAGCATAGCTATTTTCAGTTATCTCTCCATATATATAATTGTATTTTGGTGTGAACATTCCACATGCTCCAAATCAATTGGCTCTGTGATGTGTCACTCAGAAGCTGTCCCTATCCACTGGCTGCATTGCCTGAGTCTCATCTCCAATATTCTAAACAGTTTGCTGTTCCTCTCCCTCCAGTAGCCAGTCAGAACACAGAGGTCATTTGCATATGCGACCTGATTGGCCTTTGCCTCTAACATTCTAAACAGCTTGCTCTTGCTGTTGGGAGTCATTCAATGTGTCCTGAGGTAAAATACATATCCCAATCTTCCCTTAAACAATCACTGGAGGTGCTGATCTCCCTGTGGGGCCTGGAGATCTCCCAGAAATCACTGTGTCCCCCAGCCACAGCACATCATTTTCCCTAAACAATTCCCTACAGAAAATTCCCCAGCTATTACAATGGCTGCTTTGGGCAGTGGACTCTATGGCATTATACCCTGCTGAGGTCCCTCCGCACCCCAAACCCTGCCCTTCCCAGGCTCTACCCCTCAAATCTACAGGTCTGGCCCTCCCTTTAGTATTGCCAGCCTCCAGGCAGCACCTGGAGATCTCCAAGATCAGTTCTCCTAGAGAAAATGGCTGCTTTGGGCAATGGACTCTATGACATTATACCCTGCTGAGGTCCCTCCACACCCCAAACCCTGCCCTCCCCAGGCTCTACCCCTCAAATCTACAGGTATTTCCCAACCCAGAGTTGGCAACCCTGTAACTGGCTATGGAACCACTTTCCAGACCCTTGGAATCCAGAAGACATGGCATAGGAGGAGGTACTTTTCTACCGTAGCTGCCACTGCATAGCCCCAAATCAACATAAGTCGGGGTGGAGGAAGCCATACCTGTTACCATGCGGCTGTCCTTCCATACTACTCACTTGGGGCAGCAAAATGACTTGAGACAGCCCTGCCTTATAGCTAGGCAGAAGGAAATAAACATGGCTTGCCTCCCTCTATTTTCCCCTTCCCTCTGCCGCCCCACCAGCCACAGCTGGGATACTCAGATGGAGCTTCCTTCTAGAGCTCATTGTATTTCTTCCCACAACGCGACTTACTCCTAGTTGTTCAATAATTCTCTTACCATCTGCCCCATCTTTTGTAAGATGATATTCAGTGTACCAAATAATTTTTTTAAAAGCTTCAGATATTAGACGTGATATATGAACCAATTCTGCTCTAAAGATATTATGTACATATAATGAGAAATTATTGACTTCTTGCCCCATTGTTTTGTCATCCTAGGCCTCAATTGGCAGATTCCTGGTATTCTTTGTCGTACCTTTACTACAGTGCTGTTGGGTGTCTTGGATGCATTATTACAGGGCTTCTGATAAGTTTTGTAACAGGTTTGTTTTGTTTGTCATTCTGCGCACTGCTTGGAACCATATTTTACAAAAATTTATTAGGGAGGAAGTTTTTGCTCAGTGACTCTTACATAAAATAAAATTTATAAGGGAACTTGGAAAAGGCAGGATGATTAACTTGAGTTTAAATAGCATCTCTTCGGCACAATTTCCTATGCCTATGACTAAAACATGGAAGAAAGCATACTGACCATACGCTAGCAGATCTTCTAGAAAGTATGCATGTCTGAGATTCAATTATGCTACTTTCTGCATCTCTGTTGGACTGCTGCAAAGAATACTGAACTGAAATAACTTTATACCAATGATTCATTTGAGAAAAAAGCCATAGCTATCATAGAGTAACCATTTGCCTGTGATGAAGGTCCCTAAGGGGTCTAACTTGTAGGACTGGGGCTAAGGATCTTGGGTCAGACTTAGACTATACCTTTGGACAGGGGTCATTTCGAGCAGGAACAGGCATTCTGGGAGTAACAAGTAAACTCCTCCCCCCTCCTTTCCCTTCACCTCACCTCCAAGCGGGGTGAAGGGAAAGCGGGCAGAAAGAAAGGGAATCCAGGGCTTCTTCTGCCTGACAGAGGGTCCAGCACGCCAGCCCCTCTGACAGGCAGAAGCGCCTGGGATCCATTACTTCACCCCCTCCTTTCCCATTGCCTCACCTCCAAGTGGGGCAAAGGGAAAGGGGGGGGAGAAACAGAACCCAGCAGAAGCTTCTGCATGACAGCAGGGCCAGCGCTGGCTCTGCTCCCAGGCAGAAACATCTGAAAGGAGCATGCCGCCTCTGCGGAGTGACTCCAAAGACTGACGGGGTTTACAGTTTAAATCCCCCCTCTCTGGAGTCGCGCCACAGTGGCGGCACACTCCCTTCATTGAAGGGAAGGCAATTTGCCTTCCCTTCAATGATGGGAGCCTGCTGCTGCCACCACCCCACAACTGGGGAGGATCATTATACCCTATGGAGACCCCATGGAGACAGTCTCCAATCTGGTCTGGATCTTCCTCAGCTAAGAATGTTTTCTCATGAAGATGTTTTTGACTGACAAGATCAAAATATTTTGGTGATTCCAACATGACTGAATGGCTAACAACAACAACAACAATGTTTTTAATTTCAGAGTTTTTGTAGAAACATCTGTCTTGTTTGTTTATGGATCTATCTATCCACATATTTGGCCATGTCAAGAATTAAATAAATTTATTATGATTGATTTATACTTTGATTTTGTCAGCCAAAAACATCTTCATGAGAAAACATTGTTAGCTGTGGAAGATTCGGACCAATAGGGAAGTACCTAGCCAACAGCCATCCATCATCGATGGCAGCTGAAAATACATTGGGTCAACCCTCACCCATAATAGAAGCAGCACCTGTAGCTCTATGAAAGGAATTCTCTCAGTGGCCATTGTTTGTCAACCACAGCAGTATTTCCAGCCTTCAAGCATTTGTTTCTGTCAGTAAAATGTAGGGGAAGAGAGCATGTCAGGCCTGACAGCAGCCACTGGACAACTTGACACCATGCAACTTGCATAACTCATATAGGCCCAGCTGCTTGATACTGTTCAACAGCCACTGCCCCATGAAGTGTTGTGTAGTGGTTAGTGTTCAAGACAGATTTGGGAGACCCAGGTTTGAATCTGAGTTGGGAAATACCTGGAGATTTTTGGGGTGGGGCCTGAGCAGTGGGTGTTGCCTTCTGATACACTTCCAGTGATATCAGGGTGTGTGGCATATGCAAATAAGTTATGCTAATGAGCCCCTGCACCTCTTTTTTCTATGAAATGACCCCTGCCTTTGGAGAAACTGTGATCTTCTTGCCAGGTTTATTACAATCTGAAAATTATTACCAGTAGAGATAAGTTGTTTTTGTATATACTTGATTCACTACCCCAGAAGTTTATCATTGACTTTTACCTTATTCTATCTAGGGCCCAATAAAGGAGAAGATATTAATGCCCTTTTAATTCGTCCTGTCTGCAACATATTTTGCTTTTGGTCTCATAAATACAAAACATTGTGCTGGTGCAGAGTGGATCATGCTAAAACACCACTTCACGTAAGATGATCTTAACACATTACTCTTTCAAACAGAAGCGTCAGAGGGGTAGGGGCTGTGGCTGTGATTCAGTGGTTGAACAGCTGATTTGCCTGCAGAAGTTCCCAGGTTCAATCCTAGGAATCTCTGACAACAAGAATCAAATAGTAGGTGATGTGAAAGACCCCAGTTTGATACCTGAAGAGCATCTTCCAGACAGTGAAGACCAATGATACAAGGCAGCTTTATGTGCTCATGGGAGGTGTGGGATTGGGTTCAGAATGTGTGTGTGAAAGTATAGGCTCCCAATTCTAAATGGTGACTGTATTTGCAGTAACTCTTTCCTTCTGCGACAGCCATCACCATCAGAACATGTTCCCAATGGTGCCTCATTGTTAAACTTGGTTAATACAAAATTTATGAACAGTTCCTGGAACCCTTGCTGTGTGTCTATTAAAAGGACAGTGCAGATTGTTCATAATTCTCTGAGACTAACAACTTTGGCCTTTTTAACCATAAACATAAGGATCCATTAAGAACACCTTTTTCTAGTAATAAAAATAACATGCAATTTTCATAAGGCATCTGAGTTACTGAAAGGTGTGTCAAGAATGTTGAGGATTACCATGTATGGAAAAGAGAAATATGACTAAAGTTTGTCCATCTTACACAGAGGACAGGTCTAGTTAGAAAATAAGTGCCATTTTATTCAGTGGGGATTACTCCTGGGAAGCTGTTCTTAGGAGTTCTCAGAATTCATCTTTTCATTTCTGCGTGAAAAGAAAAATAGGCTAGACTGAGAAAGACGTTTCTTGTCTCACACCCTTCAGACTGACTTTCTGAATCAGCTTCTTATGCATTGCTTCCCCCAAGCTTCATCTTCTTATGCTAGTGCATGAATAAGAAACTGAAGTCTAGAACAGGCTTTTATGTGTTCTATTGTGTGTAAAGGGCTCAGGGTTGCTTATATACCTTTCCTTTTAGGGGAACAGTTTTAGGTAAAACCTATAAGTGATCATTCCCACAAGAATTTCCACCCATAAGAAATGTTTTTTCCTCTTTTATGCCCAATCTTGGTGACAGGATAGCTGAAATATTCATTACCTGAGATAATATACCCCATAAATGAAGATACAATACATCATGTGTTTGTTGAATGGAAGTGTTTTAGTTATTTACAGCTAAATGCAACTTATAAACTTTAATTTAATTAGTGCCTTTAGTTTTTTAGTTCCTTAAGAGGCTACACAATGGGTTGATTAATGTCTGGGCAAAACCACTGTGGGTCAAAGTCTGAAATAATTCTAATCATAGGCGTAATCTTCGTGGGGGCGGCGGGGCATGAGCCCCCGCCGAAATTTTCAGGAAGGTGTTCAGCCTCCCCCGGGAGCCACCTTTGCTCCTAGCAAAGCAATGTCTCTGGCCCAGCCCCAGCCCCCCCCCCCCGGGAAATTGGAACGTCTACACCCTTGTTGATATGATATGATGTGATATGAGATGCTGCTCATCAACAGCATTCCACTATGTTGTTAATTTTCCCAGCTGAGATAATGATGTGCAACATTTAGAGAGTTTCCTCAGCAGGCACTTGAACTGGTCATCTCACAGTGTCTGATTTGGTTAACTTCCTCATAGACGCCTTGGGGTGCTTGCCAAAAGGATTAGATTGACACACCTAATGTTCACTAAATTCTGTCTACCTAGAGCCCACATAACAAAACAGGCCTATTTATCTTTAAAAGAAACTCTTACTCAGCAGTGGAGATCTGGTGTGTGTGTGTGGGAAAGAGCTTTTGGCCTTTCTGAGAAGATCCCATAAATTCCTGCTTAACCATGAAGCAGCTATCTCCATATGAATGAAGATCAGGCAGGTAACATGGCTGGCTCTGACTGCATGGGAAGGCTTTTTAATGTCCATTCCCATCCCACTCTTTGGTGGCTTCACAGCACAGCAAGAAGACTTGCCAATCACTGGTGTTTTCTATATTAAGAGAGCCAGTTTAGTGTAGTGGTTAAGAGTCACAGTTAAGAGTGGCAGGATTCTAATCTGGAGAACCTTGTTTGATTCCCCAGTCTTCCACATGAAGTCAGCTGGGTGACCTTGGGTCAGTCACAGTTCTCTCAGAACTCTCTCAGCTCCACCTACCTCACAGGGTGTCAGTTGTGGGGAGAGGAAGGGAAGTTGATTGTAAGCCGCTCCATGACTCCTTCAAGTAGTGAAGGGTGGGGTATAAAGCTAACTCCTCCTCCTCCTCTTCTTCTTCAAAATGTGGCACCAGCAATTTAATGGATCCTGGCTGAGACTGAGATCCTTCAGTGTGGTGAAGGAATAAATGGATGGCCCCATGAGCATTTAATGCAATAAAATTAAGGAGTATCTACACACAATGATATGAGCCAGTTCTCTAACAATGTACTGGTGTAAGAATAAGAGCTGCTTGGCCTGAATGGTCAAGCATCTAAAGAAAGGAGAAGACACAGAAAAGAAAGATTACATTATTTTGAACTTTGGTCCATGACAAGCATCAATAGGAACTATCTGTTTCTTTTTTATATATTATTCTTTAGGAGGGATCAACAAAAGATCTCCACAAAGATGAAACAAAGAAGGCAGAAGGAGATGATGTACTCAAGAATGGACTGGATAAAGACATACAGACCCATATCCCTGGCTATAATCCAGATGAAAAATCATACATTAACACAAGCATGGAGACAGAATCTTACTTTTAGCCTTCCTGCACGAAACAGAATACATCCAACTAAACCAGGAAACTGCATAGCACTGCTCAACCTTTAGAAAAACAATTTGGTGGCAGAGCAATCGACACAGAAGACATTTATTTTTAACACCAGAAGGAACATTCATTTTCACTGACTGAATTAATTCCATAATGAAAAGCGAATTATTTCTTTAGTGGCAAATTTAATCCACAGGGAGGTTCTTCTTATTCACTAAGAATTCACTTCCCAGACTTTCTGCATCCATAGTACATTCCTTCTCAAACTTGATTTGGCACAATCATTCCAGAAAGACTGGAGTCTTGTCATGCTGGGACACCACTTGGGTGGCAAGGTACACATTTATGAAGGTCCTGCCCATATTGATGCCATTTGCTTTCAGACAGCCCCTTGTGGTTGCCATTTTCTCCTCTGTATCACTGGAGGGCTTTTTGAGGGCTTTAACAATTGGTAATTGCTATTCTGCTATAGCACAATAATATTATAGCTATCTATTGATATAGTAACCTATTATATTGTTAATCCACAATCTTCTGAATTCCCAACTTTCATTTTGGAAAAATAAGTCCCTAGCCCTTTTTATTGTAGAGATTTATGCTGAAAAGGACTATAGGTCCCCGGTCACACGAGAGGTTTTGGGCCGGGAGAGGGACGGATCTGGGGCGCAGCAAATGGGCGCGATCCCACCGCAACATCTGGGAAGTGTTGCACACTTGTCCCCTATCCGGCCCTTCCGCCCAAAACGCCACAGCAAAAATAAACCACCTACCGAGGTGGTTCTTCCGGCAAGGCCGCATCAAGGCTGGCCGTGGCTGGCCGAATTGCGCATGCTCACACATGCGCAGTTCGGCAGCCTCCCCCTCCCGACCGTGGCTTCCTCCCCGGCATCTGATTGTTCCGGGGAGCAACAGCGCCGTGGCTCAGGGGATCCATGGGATCCCACCACGGCATCTCTATTTTGGTGCGGCTCTGATTAGCCGCACTTCGCCCGTTTTTTTATTCTGCCGTGTGGCAGGGACCTAGGTTTACTTTTTAAAATGAATGAATGTTGGGAATTCATAGGAACTAGGAGACTGTGGTGATACATTGTTATAATGTTATTGTGCTATAGCATGGTAACAATTACTGATTTTAAAAAAACCTTTCAAAAAGCCTGGCAGTGCTGCAACAGGATAACATGCTGGGGAAATGGCAGCTGATGACGAAGAGTATGCACAAAATCTTCTTGCCTGAGAAAATGTCTTAGCATTTGCAGCGGGGATAATAAGGAAACAGAATTCTTGCTGTGTTGGCTGCACTCTAAGAAATGATGTAAAATTAATTTGACGTTATATTGGATAAGTGAAGTTTATTCACATCTCAGACTTGACATTTATCTTCCACTGCCTCTACCACTTAATTGAAAGAATGCAAACTGTGAACGAAATTGCATCTTTTCTTTCCAGATCAGAGTTTTATACTAGGCTTTTACCTCTTCAGTGGACAATTTAATTGTGTTTTATCTGCTGATGAATATGGGTTCTCTCTCACTACCGTTTGTAAGTAACGTAAGTAGCAGTAAGCAAGTTTGGTGTTTCTCCAATAGTTAAAATATAGTGACTTTAAGTCTTTAAGGTGTTATTCTTTAAGGAGCTCCTGGATTCTTGTTTTATTTTGCTGCTATAGACTAAACTAACATACCTACCCATCTGGAATAAAGCATGGATGAGAGCCTCTTCCTTAAGAGTCTTGTATTACAGATATCATAAAGGAGCCATGTATTGCAGACCTAAAGAGATCATGGATATGCTTGTACATGGTTGTTTGATGATGAATATTTCTCAGTTCCACTTCAAGTATTTATAAACACAGTGCAGCATCACATATCCAGTGTGGCAAAATTGCTGCATGCAACATTGAAACACCCTGCTGTATAGGTAGAAAATGGTTTCATCATGTAGGTCACCATATCTGGATCAGAGCATCTGATTGCAATATTAGGACAATGCCACAAATGTATGCAACCCTGGCATCCTGAATATGGGTTTACTAGTACAAATATATAGGACCAGAAAAGCTGCACTAGTAGAATAAATATAGTGTCTGCTTTAAAGTTATCAATATTTATTACTGAAAATGCAGTATTAAAATGTGTATGATACAAGAATTAAATGCATTTGTACATATAAACTTTGATAAGCCAGTGTCTCAAAAAAGACAAATTTAGATTAAAGTGTCTTACAGTAAATTCAATCAACTCTTATCCTTTAATTTTCTAGTAACTGTTTTCTCATATTAATTTTAAAGTTTGAGAGTATCCATTGGGTCAGAATAAAGTAATTTTAAACCAAAAAAAGGAAAGTAGCACATCAGAAATTCATTTCTGTCCACAATTGTGAGGTTTGTTTTTCTGATAAAGTACAGCAATCATTAACAATATAGAGAATATTCTCTACATCTTTACTTAGAAATCAAGATGTCACAAAATACTACACATCTCAAATATATATGTATGTATCTAGAAATCTCTTATAAGCATGATATTGAAAATGCCAGTTTAACCATGCTATAGAATAATTTCACTATACAATATTGTTTCCAAACAATTGAAATTTCAGTTATGTTAAACTATATAGAGTTCAGAGAAATAGCTTGACTATATATATGTGTGTGTATGTTTTTGTGTGTGTATCTCCCTTATAAATAAAAGCCGAATGGTGGTGGCACTTCTCTAGAACATTCCACACGCTCCAAAATCAGTTCGCTCTCTGATCTGTCATTCAGAGGGTCTCCCTATCCACTGGCTGCTTTGCCTGAGTCCTGCCTCCAACATTCTAAACATTTTGCTGTTCCTCTCCCCCCCGTAGCCAGTCAGAACACAGAGGTTATTTGCATATGCAGCCTCATTGGCCTTTGCCTCGAAACACAATCATGTAGGTCACTCCTTAAAGAATAACACCATAGAAAACATTCTAAACAGTTTTGCTGTTCTGAGGTAAAATGTGTCCAATCTCCAGGTGAGGGCTGGAGATCACTCAGAATTACAACTGCTTTCCAGATGGCAGAGATCAGTTCCCCTGGAGAAAATGGTGGGCTCTGTATCCTTATATGCTGCTGAGGTAGCCCCCGTATGACAGCCAATGTGACGTAGCAGTCAGGGCTTCATAGCACGGGAGAGGCTGCAGGTGTGTGGGGGGTGGAAAGTTGAAGAGTGAGGGCAAAATAAAGGTAGGTTGATGATTGGCTGGGAAGGAGATAGGGTTGCCAACTCCAGGTGGGAAATCCCTGGAGATGTGAGGGATGGAGCCTGGAGAGGGTGAGGTTTCAGGAGGTGTGGGACCTCGGAGAGATACAAATCCATAGACTCCGCCCTCCAAACCAACTATTCCCTTCTGGGGAACCATCGTTGCCAATCTCCAGGTGAGGGCTGGAGATCACTCAAAATTACAACTGTTCTTTAGGTAGCAGAGATCAGTTCCTCTGCAGAAAATGGTGGACAAAGTGTCATTATACCCTACTGAGGTCGCCACAGCAAATTGACACTGAGTGTCCAAAGCTGGGGCACCCGCCCAGAGCCTCTTTCTAGAGCTTGTTGTATTTATTTCCACAACGGACCTTTTTCCTAGTAATTTTATAAACCTCTACACACACAATAAAATAAATAGTGGAATTAATTTGAACAATCTGTTATTTTGAAAAATAAAATTCCAAGCTAAAATATTTTCCGTGTTACAAAGCACTATATTGTATGAGTATCTTAGTAACAAATTCGTTGGCATGATGCAGGGCAAATAAACGATACTAACTTGTTTACAGAGTTGCAGACAGACATAAATATGACTAAAGGCTGTTGCATGTGAACCTGGAGGCTGCTTTCCATAGTGCAGAGTTTACTAGTGGTTGCCACATACAGAACCATGACCAGAAGAAAACTCATACTACATAGGAGCATGAGGAAAAACTACAACCAAGATATACAAGAAAAAATATTAAACAGGTTAGCTTTCAGATTTCCCAGTGCATTTAAGCATAGATTTTCTGCCTCAGCAGACTACAGATCATACAGAAGCTGCTCTCCACGTCTAGCTAGCACATGCAGAATCAGATGGTTTTGTACACATCAAAAGTTAATTTGTTAGGGGCATGCAAATAGTCTAAGAGAGCCAGTTTGGTGTACTGGCTAAGTGCATGGACGCTAATCTGGGAGAACCGGGTTTGATTCCCCACTCCTCCACTTGCACCTGGCTCAATGACCTTGGGCAAGCCGTAGTTCTGATAAGAGCTGTTTTTGAAAAAGAGCAGTTTCTGTCAAGAGCTCTCTCAGCCCCACCTACCTCACAGGGTGTCTGTTGTGGGGAGGGGAAGGGAAAGGAGTTTGTAAGCCGCTCTGAGACACCTTTGGGTGGTGAAGGGCGGGGTATAAATTCAATCTGCTCTTCCTCCTCCTCCTAACTGTGTGCAGAGCAACCAGTTTACACAAGCTGCTTGCAATGAATTGGCGACACTGTAGACTGTAATAAAAAGCAGTCACCATGTAACAAAGATCCTTGTACACCATGCCCTGATCAACGTAATGCACGTTTCTGTGATTGGGCAACATCAGAGGGGCATTTGTGACCTTGGTAATTATGGTGTTATGATGGCAGCAATGCAGGAATCATAGTAAACTCTGTCTAGAGCAGATGTATTGATAGCATCAGGATTCAGGATCATCAGTAGGACATAATTCTCTTAGGATACATCCTGAATTCTTAAACCTGGTTCTGTGTTGTTAAGCACATCTTGCCACCTGTATTATTAATTATCATTATCTGTCCTTTTCTATGGTCTCATTAATGGTGCTGCCATTTATATCAGTAGACATATTGGAATTCTAATGGATGCTGCCTGTACGGTCATCTGTTTTAAATCTAAAACAGGTAAAGCAAATTGGTTTTATAGGACTCTGTGTTGTTGAAATACATTTGCTAATCACATTCAATTTTTTTTTGCTTCTGTATGATCCAATTCAG